TTATGCATGAGCTGAACATCTCTTGTAGTAACTTTCACAGATAATTGGCAGGTGGAACATCAAATATAGAACGAGAGAAGGAAAGAGTAAGCAAGAATGCATTGCTCTGGTCATATCAAAAGAAAGTTCCAAAAAGCAAGACTTATGCTGGTCTAGTAGCTATGGATTCCCACAGAAGATCTTCCATGCATATAAACACCATGTTGCTATTTTTATGTTTTTTCACTGTAGACAAACTTACTGCCCAATGACACCTCACACGTAACCTTTAGAATCCATTTTTATTAATCAAGGTTTATGAAACCCTCAAATTCCATATAGCACAAAAATCTAGTTAATTTAAAGAGGGTTTAAATTAGGGTGTTTGTTGCCTTGTTAATGCCTATCATTCAATTTAGTCCATATTTTCTAGGAAAATCATTAATTTAAGCTGCTGTAGTTGTAATTAAGGAATATCATAAAAAATTCTTGCATCCATACCTCATTTTCATTAGAAGAGGCAATGTCTTCTGCTAGAGCGCTACATGGGCTACACTTTGCAGCTGACCTTTTCTAGCCAAGATGTTAAACAAGAGTAAATAATATGTTATTTATATACATATATATATATGGCCACAGAGCAGACAAGCTCAGCAAAATATGCCCTTTTTTAGCTGATCTATTGTCATTAGGGAAAATACACAGTATGAAGAAGAAGAGGAAGAGGAAAAAGAAGGAGAAATAATTATAATAATGAAATGAATGTAAGCCAGGTAAGGGTTTTAATATATTAAGGTATACCATATATTCAGTATGGTACCCATAACCCTTCAAGCTGGGAGAATTACAGGCATCATACCAGCTAATGCTTTTGGCATCGCAGAGGAGATCTTTTGTTTATTTTCACTGATTTTAATTACAATACCTCTAAACTGCATTTATATATTTATCATATTCTGGTATATGAAACTGGTATAGCTAAAGCTTTCTGAAAAATTAGCAATTAAATCCATTAAACATATGGACAAGATCTTTGAGATCAGGATATTTGCACATCCTTTGACTGAAGTTAATTGGAATAACTGGGCTTTTTCGCATCTTCCCTTCTCTTGTCTCCCTGGAAGAAAGGGCTAACTTAAACACACTGACAACCTCTGAAGTAGAGAAAGAGAGAAACTGTAAAATATTAAAAGCAAGGGGTGTTGTTCTTTGGCTTTGCATATGGAACCAGGAGTGAGGACGGCATCTGAGCAACTGATACCCAGGAGCACTGTCTGCTACATCAGGAAGCTCTGTGATTAGAGGGAAAAGGCACTTCTTTTGCTTGTTACTTCATAATCTGCATCCGTCTTCCAACCTTATATCCAATAATTCATATATCATCTCTGACACGGGTAAGTCTTCCTAAGAATCTCTGAAACTCAAGTGAGTTGCCTTGGCCAACCTAAGGCCTTAGCTTTGAACACAGCTTCTCCTCCTCACTAGCGGGGGAAACATTTAGATGCCAAAAGCAGTTATCCAGATGTTTTGGAGGGCGAGGGAAGTGCAGTGCCAATCCCAGCCTCTGTACTTCTGCTTTCCACTGGATGCCTGTAATTCTCCCAGCTTGGAGGGTTATGGGTACCATACTGAATATATGGAATACCTTAATATATTAAAATCCTTACCTGGCTTACACTGAAACATAACATACTACAAAAACAAAAACAAAAAAGATGTAATGCAAAAATAATAAATAATTGCCAACAGTTAAGAACATTTAAAGTCATTATATCATCCTGGAATAAAACAGTAAGATAGTTTCCCTGTTTCCCTGCTTGATAGAAAACCTGTGTAAAAAGGTATCTTTTCTGCCCCTGAGAAGACCCAGGGAAGAATTTCAAAACGGGGGTGTCGCCACTGAGAGGGCCTGCTTATGCGCCTCTACCAGATGCCATTCCATGGGCTCCAAAATGATCAAGGAAAGGGTGCTCAGAAAATCTCAGGGACTGAATGGGTACGATGAGCTTTCTTTTTTAAGAAAGTATCTAAAGGTGCTATCCTAGGCAAGATCAGACAGAAAAAAGGCCTACATCAAGACATAGGATTGCACCCTAAATGTCAGCACTGTGGAGGCTTATCCGATGTCAACATGTGAAGAGGTCCAGAGGGAGATGCTCTAATATAAAATGCTCTACTGCAAGTGCTCCTGAGGCAAACCAGAAGAACATGTGGAACCATCTGAACTGTTGTGTGTAAGGGGAAATGGTCATCTGGGTACTCTGGTTATGCATGATATACACATTATATAACACAATGTATATTAATGTTACTGACCAATTGGAAACTATCCTCATCCTAGAAAGCAACAGTAAGTTTCCTTACATGGCTCTTGTACAGTGCTTTATATACAAACTCTCTCTTGATCTTGCATGCAAGCAGCTTACAGGAGCAAATCTGCTTTGCTTCAGCAACACAACTGCATCCTGTACCTTCACAGTCTTCTCTAGGCTCCAGGCCAGCCAAGCGCCCATCAACACGATTAGTGGCAGCCTATATATACTACAGAACCAAAAGAAGCAAAAAGACACATTGCTCATTTCTAGCATGCTAACAATGTGGACCACAGTTCTCAGGATGCTAAAAGGGCCTCATCTGAAATGCAACATTATCTTTTTAAACTAAAAAGATACAGTTTCTTTTTATCCACATGTATGAAGGAACTCAGTTCATTATGTGGGGTGGGGGGAACAGGCACATGAAGCTGGTTTAAACCTCTGCCTACTTAGGGTAACTCTACTGCCTAGGATAAAAGTCAGAGACTGCCCCTCTCTGCTGCAATCTAGCCCAATTTGTTCCACAGAACTCAGTGGAAGTGACTGATAACACATGCACACTTCTTTTCATTGACACAATCCACATGTACAAAATCTACTTCTCAGTGTGACCTCAGAAAAAGACACAGCTTAATATGCATGGACAGGCCATGCTATATCCCGTGTTGCTATATCTCCCAGTGGGCATACTTAAGTCCCTCTTTCACACTCTCACATTACTTAAACATCACCATCTCATCCACCACTGTATTGAGCAGTAATTTATTAAGTATTCACCATTAATATATTTGCAATGCTTATTCCCTGGTTGAAATAGTACCAGTTATTTACACAGCAAGCATGACAAAGGGCAAATACATATTAGTTAAATATTTCCCAACCAAGTCAGAAGATGTTTTCTGTTCCTAGCTGAGCATTTCTAACACAGTAAGTCATGTACCTGAGATAACTTTGCATTAACTCATCACTTCATGGTATGTCACATATATTTGTGTAACTTCCTTTGAATTCAAAGCACTGCTTAAATATGTTATGCATATTCAGGTAACTTCATTTGAATTCAAAGCGTTACTTTTCCTCTTCCACTGGTGACATCATACTTGGCTCCTTTCGCTGGAGTTTACTTCTCCTAAGGCTTCAGTACATTAATAGCAATAAAGTCCTCCTTCAGTAATGACAGCTATGGCATGACAGCCCCACTGCTGTAGCATCTCACCACATATGCATATTTCAAGAGGTTGCTCTATGGGAGAATGAATGAGCCGGTGCAAGAGTGCATTTCCAGCAGCAAAGCAATACGCAGAGCCCAGTCACTCATCAGCAAAGCAGGAGAAGCAAGGGGCTGTTTCAGAGAGAAAATAATGACCGCCCCCCCAAAAAAGTCTGTTGTAGGCAGCTGGGATGTGTTAATTCCTTCCTTGGGGAACTGGGCAGGTCCCTAAGTGGCATCATTGGCTGAAAGGGTGGAATGGGGAAGACAAGCAGCACCTGTGTATTCTCCTGTTCATTCAGAAAACTGAGGCAGCAGAACACATGCTCTTGATGCTATCTAGCCAAGGGGCTTTGCAGAATGCCCCCGGTTCACAGGCACAGCAGCAGCAGCAGCAATGTGTAAGAAAACCTAAGCATCCAATGACAGTCCAAAGCTTCCTTGGGCATGTCAGCTCTGCAATCCCAGCCCAACTCCCAACCCAGTCCATTGCCTATCCAGGTGACAACAGAGCACTGTCCATCAGTCGCATGGTTATACTCCTCCTCCTGCAGGAAGAGCACAACAGGCACCTCGGAGTCCATCCAGTCTGTGTCTGTGTGCAAGATGTGGGGAACGTGTAGAGAGTCCATGCACTGCAGTGTACTTAGCAGTATCAAGAAATTTGTCCCTGCCGGTCACCACTAATTTTCTTAGCTCTGGACCCTGTCCATCAGCTGCATTCCCGATTCACAAAATCCCAGCAGTAATTAAAAAACCAACTGGCAAATGCTACCTCCATGGACTGGAACGCTCCATCCCCGCATCCCGTCCAGCTGTCCTACTTCTCGCCGGATCCATACCCTTTGCTCAGTGCCTGCTAATTGCGTGCAAGTTCCCTCCGCCCACGCATTCTCCTCATCGCTTCATTTCCCCCAGCGGATCCTTACCCTCCCGCTCGGTACCAGGTGCTAATTCTGGTCCAGCCCCGACTCCCTCCCTCCCCGCCCGGCCCCTTCTTCCTGTATCCATTACTGCTCCCTTCCTCCTCGTCCTGAGATCTCCTCGTCGCCGCCGCCCCGCGCCCGGCCCCAGCCATCACTATGCCCCGTGCCTTCCTTGCGCCCTGATTTCGTCCTGCCGGAATGGATGTGGGGCCGGGAGGGGCACGGAGACGGAGAGTTTTCTTTTTCCTCCCCTGACTGGCCAGTGAACAAAATAAAGCCCTCCTGTCCAGGCAGCGAGGAAAGACGAGCACCACACCAGGTCGGAGACCCCCGGCCGAGAGCGCGCCAGAGGGGCGCACCAAAGCCAGCCGAGTCGTGCAAAGCAGGCGGCGCGACCGCGGGGCATCCTCTGCCCTGCAGCCTGGACAGCTGCCCCCCGTCCCCTGCCCGAGCGCCAACAGCTCTGCTGCTTCAGCGGCGGCGGCCGCGGCAGGAGCGAGAGGACACGCCGGTGCCTTCGGGGACGCCAGCAGGGTGGAGGAACCCCGGAGACGCAGCACAGAAACTTACTTGCCAGAGAAGCAGCAGCAGCAGCAGCCGGAGGAAGAGCAAAAGAGCGGGCTGCGCGTTTTCCGGCTTCGCGGAGTCCTGCAGAGCTCGCTCGGTCCCGCCAGCCAGCCAGCCAGCCAGCCCGTCAGGGGAAGCGCGCGAGCGAGCGCGTGCGTGCGCGCGTGCTGGCTGCCTGCGTGCGCCACGGCCCTTTGCCTGTGAATGGGATTAGCCAGGCGCGCATCACAGGCTCTGGAGCTGCCGAGCAACACTCGGGCATGCTCAGTCGGCTGACCTTCTCGGAGTGGAAAGTACCACGGAGCGAGGATGGCGGGGAGCGGGGAAAGAGGAAAGGGAGATCGGGGGAGGAATAGATGCGACCATCACCAAGCGGGCTAAAAATAGAACACAGGCGAAGATGGAGGCAGGAAAGCGGGAACAGCTGGAGCTTAAAGAGATAGGCGCCGGTCTGGAGGAGCGCCTCTCTGGGTTAGGAGTTCAGGGCTCCGCGGGGAAGGTGCATTGCCTCCCCTGCTGGCTATAGCACACACGTACAAACGCTAGTTCATGTAGCTGTAGGTGAGAATGGAAGTCAGGAAAGCGTTATCTTTCTGAGTGGCCAAATGCTTGATCTTGCGCACGTGCACCTTCCTTTTATCGAAGCCAATATAGCAAAATATCCAAGATTTCTAAGACAATGCAACGGTTAAGATGCACAAGGCGTTAAAGTTTAAGAGTTTGCAGAATTAAGAAGACAGATAACTTAAAACATGAAGGAGATGCTGGTTTTGTGGAGCAGAATATGTGTTGTGTTTTATTCTGATCAGGTAGCAGGATCTAAGCTTCCAATGGGTCCTCTTGGGATACTCCTGTAAGCAACTAAAGGGGCAACTCTATGTAAGTTTAAACAGAAAAGGGGGTTCACAACTTTCAAGTTTTATATCTCTTCTATGGATAAACCTTCATTGGATTGTTCAGTTAAAAAAAAGTATGGGAAAGGTTAATAATAACTCCTTGGACCCTGGGAAAAGCCTTCATTTCAGAAAGGGGATATTGTCCTTCCTCTGCTGGATTGTTTTCTTATAGGTGAGAATGGAAGTCAGGAATGTGTTGGGATGTGGCAACAATGATGAAATTAACTGTTCATATATGAACCAGGGAAAAATGTTTGAGGATATCTTTATTGAAAAACAGAGTGCCTTTATCATATATTGCCATGATAAATTTAGAGATAACATCTGTCCATGCTTCTTGTTTTTCCTTTTTCCTTTTTATTTATTTATTGCTGTTGAAAGGTATGTATTGGGCTACTCTATGTTAATTTTATGTGCTTAAATAAAAAACTAAATTGCAAAATGAGTGCATAAAGGTGACTATTTGGTAACAATGCAATGATCAGTCAAAAGAGGTGAATTTTGATTACCTCGCCCACCTGTTTGTCACCTCACTAAACCCTTTACTCACATTCTAGCAACATCTGTTTGAAGAAGATGTGCATTTAGGAGAGAGGACAAGAACAGCACAGATGCTCTTCGATTGTTCCATGAGATCTATATTTTCTTTCTTCAAGCTGCAACATTGGTCACAGCATTCAATATGCAATATTTATGTTGCTGGAAAATGTGATTACAATCCCCTCCCTATCTCGCTAGCATGACTGTGTCATCTAGACATTATCCAAATACATCAGATCCTTTTATACATGTTGCAAGGTAACAAACAATAAAATCTGAGCAGCAGTAGTATCCATGGCCTCAAAGCCATGACGGTAAAAGCTCTGCTTCTTGTCAAGGTCATCCTGACCTCAGGCAACTATGGCAGAGAAAGTGGAACCTCTGAAAATCATCTACATTGGGTGGGGAGGCATGAGATGAGCCAGTTGGAGCTTGCTGCCTCATTATTGTCCCATATGAAGAATTATTGTGATTGATCAATTGCATTCAGCAGCAAATGAAGCACACATGTCACAGTCTGTAAAAGGGGAAGTACAATGATGTCTCTGAGAGCTATCAAACAGCCTGAGTGAGTAGAATATAATGTTATGTGTATAGGGTCATTCTAAATGGCCTTCTAGGGATCCCTTACAGTCCAGTGTTTCTGGCTGCAAAAAGATTATGATTACACATTGATTGATGCTAGGATTTCTGTAAGTTCAGCTTCTTTTCTCCACCAGCTCCCTAAGATGAGAGGCCATAGGGAGATGGTCCTGGTCCAGGGCTGGAGGGACAGCCAAGCCCAGCCTGGATGCCATCAGAAAGCAGGGCTTTAATCCAACCTTTCCCCTCCTTTTGTCATGACTCTGTCCACTTATTTGTGCAGAAAGGCACAGAACACTATGCCAAAGTTACCTTTCCATTTTACCTCCTTGGAAGTTATATGGAAGTTCCACTGGGCAACCATGAAGGCCATGTTATGTTTGCCAACTTTAGGTTGAGCTCCTCTGGGCTAAAGAACCAACAGAAGTAAGCTAATTTTCTCTCTGTGCTGGAACTGGGACTGAAAGTTCATTCCTTCTTGAACTTCTATGGCACTTTGTGTTTCCAAATGTATCTGATGGGACACCAAGAAACTGTTGGAATGTTCACCATCTGAACTTCCCTCTTATGATCAACCTATATATGTGTGGAAACTAAACCACAAACCATGGTTTTCCGATAATCTCCTTCTGAGACACCTGAATGCAGAGTAAGTACTAGAATCTATGTATTACGTTCCCTAACCCTGATTTCCTGCCTCTGGCTCTGAAAAGGACTGGGATGGCTGAAGAGACTCCCTCCATTAACCCAAGCTTTATAATGCCAGGGACTTTGAGGCCAAAAGCCATGGCTTTACCTGATTCCTCAGATTCAGAGGACACTCCCCATTACAGCCATCACTACCTCCAACCAGTAGAAACCACTGACTAGCCAATCAGCCTATGACCCTTTAAGAAACAAACTGCTTTTCTGAGGGAGTTGCCTGAACTCCCTGTCTAGATCAGCTGCCCTTTTTAAGGCTTGAGAAAGTCTTTCTGCTGTTGAGTCAACAGGTCAGTCACCTTAACTAAGTTTCAGCCAACTTGGAGCTGTCCAAGGTTCTGAAAGACCCAGCCTGCTCTAATCTTGCCTTGCGTATCTAGCAAACTAGACCTAGCTTGATTTAATGTGACTGAACCTGAACTGGTTTGGCATGACCAGACTTAACTTGTCATGGCCTAATCTGACAGGCTTGCCTTGACTCTGTCTTGCTGGTCTGAGTAGCTTGAACTTAGGTAAAAGGCCTCATGAAGTTTGTCATATGCACTCCCAATTTTTGTGCTCCTATGTATCCCTGTATCAGGTCAGAACACACTATGGACATGAAGAATGCCATTCTCAGTCATACATTTCTGGTCACAGAACTCCTATTAGAAGCCATTTGTGTGATCTTACCTGCTTTCTATTGAGAGACAATGCAAAGCACATTTGTTTACAGCTGTGGACAGAGATAAGGGGGTGGTTAATTTTGTGCCCTACTTTTAGTTTGCTGTGTACTGGTTTAATTGGTTTTGGTTATTGATGCATCATTCTGCTTCTTGAACTGGGCTTTCAGCTTTAACAGTCCCCCAAAGGGGAAAAATCCTTATTTGCAATGAGAGCATAGACAGAACAATAAAATACATTTATAAGCAAAAGGAAACAGGTAATTGTCTACATGCAGACTCCATCATGCAGGAACCTGATACATAGAAGATTGCCCATGTGTAACCCCTGATATTTCAGGTTTAAAGTTCCAGGTTGCGTGTGAAAGCACCTCTATCTGAGTGGCTGAACTCTTGCTGAATAGAGTACATTAGGCTACAAAGACAAATAGTTTGACCTGGGATGGGATTTACTTCCTATGAAGTCTTAGCAGTATCTCTGGCATAGGATGGGGGATGGTAGTAAAAAAATTCAAGTCCATAGATACCCTGAAGTCATTTCCAGTTTCATCAGATTTCTTGTATGCCAAACAAAGAAATGACTTTTTTAAAAAAAAAATCTTGAAGTGTTTCAGTGAAATCCTTTGGCTTTCAGCTACCCTCCAGTCATCCCATTTCACTGTTCAAGTAGGACACAGATACATCATGAGGTATAAAAAGCGCACTCTTTGCTCCCCTGTTTTCTTTTCAAAAATCAAGACATTATAAAGCTGTGCTCTCTGCTACAGCACGTTGGGTTTTACTGGGGAATTTGTCTATTTGGCCAAAGAAGTATGTCTTTGTAGTAAGGTGGGAAAAGAGGTTGTGGGAACTGCAGAAGCTGCTGTGGTGGGTGTTTTGGGGACCCTGGCTCCATAATCCCATAATAGACAAAGGATATGGCTAAATAGCTTTAGAAAGAGCTCAGAGATAATAGGTCTATGTAGTGGCTATATGAAGCTTCCAGTCAGGGGTAAGGAATCTTTTTCAGCCTGACAGCCAAATCCAATTTCAAATAAGCCCTCAAGATCCAAGTTCTGGCAGCTGTGGTGGTGGTGGTGGTGGTGGAGAGAAAGGCAGCAGGAACAGAGACAAAAGGGATGGAATCAACATACAAAACACTCCCTGGAGCTAAGCTCCAGGGAGGCATTTCAATCTTGTAGAAGCAGGGGCTGAGGAGACACTAAAAACCCAGGAGGTGGTAGGCACCTCTTGCAGAAAGAAATTGGTGGGGTTCAGCAGAAGCATCAGATTAGATACTACCTATTCTATAGACGAGGGAACTGTAACATGGTGGGATGCATTCTGAACATAGTCAAATGGAGACTGAGCATGCTCAGCACATGGAATACAGGTTGATTTGGGGTCAGTAGATGGAAAAGTAAATGAGACGGAAATGGGAGTGGAATGGCCCTTCTTTTCCATGGAATGGAAGGTTCTTTTCTCTCTCTCTTCATGTGACCAATGTGAAAATATTGCATCAATATGTTTCCGTCTGCACTGGAAGTCCATTTCCAGGTGTGAATCAAAGTCCTGGTATTAGCATTTAAGATATCTAACCTGCTTGTAGCTGGGTTACCTGATGGATTTTCTTCTCCCATCTACACTTGCCCAGGCCCTAAGTCAACTTCAGTGGTCCTTCTCCATGAGTCTCTACCAATGAAAGTTGGTGACTGAAGTTATGGGCCTTTTCTATTGTTGTACCTTGGCTATGAAATGAACTTCCCAAAGAGG